ACCCCTTACAATTTGAAATTTTTCACAAACATCTCATTTTGCCCAATGTTGCTAAAAATGCAAGGTTAAGCCCTTACAATTTGAAATATTTTATAAACATCTGATTTTGACCAATTTTGCTAAAAATGCAAAGTTTACCCCTTACAATTTGAGATTTTCATAAACATCTAATTTCGCCCAATTTTATTTAAAAAGCAAGGTTAACCCCTTACATCTGAATTTTTGCAGAGACGTCTAATTTTGACCAATTTTGCAAAAAAATGCAAGATTAACCCCTTACAATTTGAAATTTTTCACAAACATCTCATTTTGCCCAATTTTGCTAAAAATGCAAGGTTAAGCCCTAACAATTTGAAATATTTCATAAACATCTGATTTTGACCAATTTTGCTAAAAATGCAAAGTTTACCCCTTACAATTTGAGATTTTTCATAAACATCTAATTTCGCCCAATTTTATTCAAAAAGCAAGGTTAACCCCTTACATCTGAATTTTTCAGAGACGTCTTATTTTGACCACTTTTGCAAAAAAATGCAAGATTAACCCCTTACAATTTGAAATTTTTCATAAACATCTGATTTTGACCAATTTTGCTAAAAATGCAAGGTTAAGCCCTTACAATTTGAAATATTTCATAAACATCTGATTTTGACCAATTTTATTCAAAAAGCAAGGTTAACCCCTGACAATTTGAGATTTTTCATAAACATCTAATTTCGCCCAATTTTATTCAAAAAGCAAGGTTAACCCCTTACATCTGAATTTTTTCACAGACGTCTAATTTTGACCACTTTTGCAAAAAAATGCAAGATTAACCCCTTACCATTTGAAATTTTTCACAAACATCTCATTTTGCCCAATTTTGCTAAAAAATGCAAGGTTAAGCCCTCACAATTTGAAATATTTCATAAACATCTGATTTTGACCAATTTTGCTAAAAATGCAAAGTTTACCCCTTACAATTTGAGATTTTTCATAAACATCTAATTTCGCCCAATTTTATTCAAAAAGCAAGGTTAACCCCTGGCATCTAAAATTTTTCAGAAACATCTGATTTTATTATTGCATAATATGAGCCTTGCATATTGAAAATATGCAAGGCTCACCTCTTACAATTTGAAATGTTTCATAAACAACACATTTTTTCCTAATTGTGCAAAAAATGCAAGGTAAAGCCTTTACAATCTGCAATTTTCCAGAAACATCTGATTTTGCCCTATTTTGCTAAAAATTGCAGGGTTAACCCCTTACAATTTGAGATTTTTCATAAACATCTCATTTTACCCAATTTTGTGCAAAAAGCAAGGTTAACCCCTTACATCTGATTTTATTCAGAAACATCTGATTTTGACCAATTTTGCTAAAAATGCAAGGTAAACCCTTCAAATCTGCAATTTTTAAGAAACATCTGATTTTGCCCCAATTTTATAAGGTTACCCTTCACAATTTTTTATTTTTCATAAATATCTGACGTTGCCCAGTTTTAGCAAGGTTAATCCCTTACATCTAAATTTTTTTCTAGAAACATCTGATTTTGACCAATTTTGCTAAAAATGCAAGGTTAACTCCTTACAATTTGAGATTTTTCATAAAAATCTTATATTGCCCAATTTTACCAAAAAAGCAAGGTTAATCCCTTACGTCTGAAATTTTCCAGAAACATGTGATTTTGCCCAATTTTGCAAAAATATGCAAGGCTCAGCTCTTACAATTTGAAATTTTTCATAAACTACTCATTGTGCCCAATTTTGCTAAAATGGAACGTTAAGCCCTTAAAATCTCAAATTTTCAAGAAACATCTGATTTTGCTAAAACATGCAAGATTAATTGAAATTTTTCATGAACATATAATTTTTGCCCAATTTTATTCAAAAAGCAAGATTAACCCCTTACATCAGGCGCGGTTCTAGAACCAATTTTTTTGGGGGGGGGGGGGGGGGGCTAGCACGGTGGATCCAGAATTTTTTTCAGGGAAGCGTGCTGAAATGTAGACCGGCTATTTTTTCCGGACACTTAGGCCTCCGAAAATCAATAGGTGGGGGTGGGGGTGCGGGGGGGGGGGGGGGGTTCATGCCATATTTTCAATGGGGAGCGCTAATAAAATCCTAAAATCATTCACACTATATTAACTCCTTCTTTATGCTAATGCAATTTTTTTTTTACGGAATTTATTTTTGAAGGGGGCTACACAAAGTTTTGGGGGGATACAGCCCCCCCCCCCCGTAGAACCGCGCCTGCCTTACATCTCATTTTTTTCAGAAACAATCCTTCCAATCTGCAATTTTTCATAAACGTCTGATTTTACAAATATGTTTTTAAAAAAATGCAAGGTTAACGCCTTACAATTTGACAATTCTCATAAACATTAAATTCTGCCCAATTTTGCTAAAAAAGCAAGATTGATCCCTCACATCTGAAATTTTTCAGAAACATCTGATTTGCCAAATTTTGCTAAAACATGTAAGGTTTGCCCAATTTTGCTTAAAATGCAAGGTTAAGCCCTTACAATCTGCAATTTCCCAGAAACATCTGATTAATGCCCAATTTTATTGATTTGGTCAGATTTTTGTTTGTTGATAAATTCTCATGAAATTGAACTGGCAATGTTAAATTTATTGTTAAATGGTTCCCGTCAATTTTCAAACCATTTGTGTCCCATATCCCAAACAATTATTGAACGAAATTTCAATTCAGTGTAGTGTGTTGTTCTTGAGTTATCGTCTCCACAAAGAGTGCTTTATTTTTGTTCCATTAAAAGTGACTCGAATTCGAATTGAATTTTTCGCGATTAGTACCCTGTATTTCATTAAATCATATTAAATGTATTCCTTAATGGTTTCCGTCGATTTTCAAACCATGTGTGTCCTATATCCCAAACTATTTTTAAACGAAATTTCAATTCAGTGTAGTGTGTTGTTCTTGAGTTATCGTCTCCACAAAGACCATCACTTGTGCCAACTTCGTTTGGGCAGATTGTTTCCACGTTGACAGAATTAAGTCTTTGCGGTGTGGTGACCAGTATTTTTGAAGCGCGCCCTCTGTTGGAAGAATTTGATGTTGGTAAAATGTACGGCAGTGCTCTTACACATTGTCGTTTTGGTTTTTGTTGTATTTTTTTTTGTCTTCAACAGTTTCTGTCGAATTTCAAATATATTGTCTCGTAGTCGTATATCACAGTCAATTTCAAATCGGTGTAATGTGTCCTTCTGGAGTTATCGTCTCCACAGAGTGCATGGGCTTTATTTTTGTTCCTTTAAAAGTGACTCCGCGAATTCGAATTGAAGTTTTCGCGATATTAGTACACTATTTCCTTAAATCATTTAAAATGTATCCTTAATGGTTCATGTCAATTTTTAAAAGGTTTGTGTCCTATATCCCGAACAATTATTGAACGAAATTTCAATTCATTGCACTGTGTTGTTCTTGAGTTATCGTCTACACAAAGTCCATCACTCGATGCCAACTTCGTTTGGGCAGATCGTATCCACGTTGACAGAAGTCTTTGCGGTGTGATGACCACCACTGTTAGTCATGCGGCGCGCCCTCTACTGAAAAACAATTATAGTATTAAACGGGTATGTAATTCTCCGTGCGAGAAAAAAAAAGACCGAAACTTGTATGGCTGCAAAAAGTGCTTGGGTAAAATGCCCTTGTAAAACAGGGAAACAAAGGAACTTTTTTGCAATTTCTTGGATTATTGCTCAAAAAGGAGTGTGACTTTTTTGGCCATGAACGTTGCTTTCCTTCCGAAGTTAATTTTTCACGTATGAAACACTAAATTGTTTCGATCTCATTTTCTTTCTTGTTGGAGTATGATTCGCATGAAAATGTACTCGTGAATGTGATACATCATGAAGAATTATTAGACGGAATTTCCATTTAGTACAACCTGTAAATCGTGACTTATCACCCGAACCTTAGAGTACCATGTTCGATGACATTAATTGAATGGTCATATTACTTTTGTTTGTTGATAAATTCTCATGAAATTGGACTGGCGATCGTGAGACATTATGAACAATTAATCAAGGAAATATTGAGTTAATACACTCAGCATTTCTTGAGATATTGCTCGAACCAGGAGTGTCTTCTTGTTACTCAATAGTATGAGGTATCCGTGTTGATAGGCAGTAGTGACCACTGTTCATGCGGCGCGCCCTCTATTGAAAAACAGTTATAGTATTAAACGGGCAGGTAATGGACCGATCCAGTAAGCACCGCCCCATGGTGTACTGACCAATCACAGCCGTGATTTATGTCGGACGTGCGTGCACAGAAGTCCGACATGCGTGCACGCGCGTATGATGCGCGCGGCAGGAAAATGCAGCGTGGCATTGGAGAGGAGCACGTGGTAATTTGCCCACGTGCGCAGTGGGCGGGGCTATGCGAGAGAGAAAAAAAGCCGAAAAGTCTATGGCTGCAAAAAGTGTTAAGGTAAAAACGCCTTTTGTAAAAAAGTGAATCTAACTCTAAGGAATTTTTTTCTTCAATTACTTGGATTATTGCTCGAAAAGGAGTGTCACTTTTTTTGCCATGAACGTTGCTTTCGTTCAGATTTAATGTTTCATGTATGAAACACTTAATTGTTTCGATCTCATTTTCTTTCTTGTTGAAATATAATTCGCATGAAAATTCGGATTGTATTTTCCATTGTGTTTTTGTTGATATTATTTTTAGTGTTTAACTCCATGATCAGAACACAAGAGGGCGATCTCCATCTTCCATGATTTGCAATTTTGGCCGCGCTGCCTCAACGTCAACTAAGGCCAAGTTCGGGCAAGGACCATTAGTCGACTTGTGGTTGATTTGTACGTACCTTACGCATGCGCACTGATAGCAACGTGCGAACGTCCTCAGTCAATTAACGCTGGTCAAAATGTCATCGCAAAACTTCTGGATCCCGGCTCTCTGCTAGCGTTATGAATGTGCGCGGCTATTGGTTACCAGCGAAGCAACCAACCCCAGTAGGCTGGTTCCAAATAGTCGACTATACGTAGTCAACCATCGTCGACTAGGCAGAGTTCGGGCAAACGTTCCCCTCTCTAGTATCTTTGACGTTAGTTAACCATTGGTCAAATAGGCTAGTCCTTGCGCGAACTTGGCCTATTTACGTGCCTGGTTTTTATTTCAGCATTAAAAACCGCGATATGCGATGGATGCTTAACGTTATACTTTTCCGTGAAACGCAGAACTTCAAGGTGAGATTTCTTACTTTTTATCAAGTTTGTGGCTCGCGCAATAAGGTAGCAATATTGCAATCAGTGAATCACAAAGTTCGGAAAGTTGAACATGTAAAAAAATTGACTAGTATGACGTGATGATTTTTTTTTTGCAAAACAGAACAAAACGTAGTTTTTTGGATGACGTTATGTGTTCTATAAATAGAGATGACTTGATTAAAGACACGTGGAACTGTTTTTTTTTCTTCAACATTCTAATGCTATATAAAATGGCATTACGTGAGGTTGTAAATTTCCTTGCCATGCTTGCTCACGACATAAGATTAAGAGAAGCCATGACTGAGAGAAGGTACGTCTTTAATCAAAAATAAGTCGGTACACGCGGGCATCCGGGATTTTCTTTTTTACATAATTAATTGGCTTATCTAGCGCCCAGACTTAGGCCTATTTAAGGGGCTATGTGTTCTTGAAACTCAATGATTCTTGATTCTGAATAATCTGGATAGCCCCATAAATGTGGCCAATTTACTGGACTACCTCCATAAATAAAGGCCACACTTCCAACATGTACAATAACATGTCGAACTTTGTCAAATTTTGATTTTCACATTCATGACATTTAGGCTTAGTGGTTTGTAGTTTAGTTTTGCTTAAGAAGCATGCTCGCCCTCTTAAGGCTAATCAGAAAGTGTTGCCTTTTTCAGAGGTCTAATTTTTGTGAAATTTCATGTTGAAATTTTGATACGCAAACGTGTGCAAATGAATGTGGAAATTTCACGAAAAATAGTCATCTGAAAAAGGCATTACTTTCCGATTAGCCTATATAGAGGTCAAGTTTGCTTCTTAAGCAAAACTAAACTACAAACTAAGCCTAAATGTGAAAATCAAAATTTGACAAAGTTCGACATGTTTTTTGTACATGGTGGAAGTGTGGCCTTTATTTACGAGGTAGTCCAGTAAATTGGCCACATTTTCATCTATTGCTGAATTTTAGTTGTCAGATTAACGTATGAGAACTGAGCTACATCAACAGGACCACTATGGCTAGGACGTACTACACACTGCCCTGGGTTCGCTACACCAACTTCGCCCGACTGTTGGTGTTTCTGGATGGATGCGCGTCGGCAGCTCTGTGGCTCACCGGTAAGACAAATGCCTTCTTTCTTTTTTGAAAGCAAAATGCTTCAAAGATAAAAGATCGTTTGCTCTGTGTGCATTTTTTAGTTGAAAGTGACAAAATTTGTTGAAAGTAAGCGTGTTTGGACTAAATGTTTTTGAATGGAAACAAGTACTGATGCACCTCAATTTTGTTTCATTTGTCTTTACAGGTGGTCATGATCCGTATCTTGAATCAAGTGTCCTGAAGTGGACTATTACTGGATCAGTTTTTGAGCTCGCTTGCATCGGCATCATCAAGATGCTCCTGCTTTTCCACGCCTTCGCGAAACTAGAAGACTTTGCGTTGGCGATGCTGGAAGACCCGTATGTTCCGAGGATCGTGGCCACAAAACGCAACCTGCACGCGTTCACCATCGCGCTGTCGCTCGCCAGTTTGGTGTACGCGTCGATCAAAGGAGGCCTGGTGCTCAACGCCATTCTCAACCACCCCGAGTACGCACCCATGCACATTACCTACAATGTGTCAGTGATCAGCGCGGTGGCCTTCTCGTTGGTGGAATTTGTGACGGCCATTTTGGGACCATTGTTCCTGCGCCGGTTACAGATCATCCGCATCAAGCACGAGCTCACCGACGAAGACGAGACGAAAGAGAAGGAGGAAAAGAAAAAGGCAAACCTCGGCCGACTTTTCAGTTTGGCCAAACCGGTAGGTTAGATTTCATTCCTTATTCGTGTGGTGGAATTTAATATTGAAAAGGGTTTCATTTTTGTAGAAGCATGTTGAGAGGAGTTTCACATTCATGCATGTATGTGTCAGAGAAAAAAAAAACATTGATATTGTATTTTTGACATTTTTAATTGACATTGTAAAATACAGGAATTGCTCTTGTTTCTGATCTGCTGCTGAAGAGTGATCTTTAAAATCATGTCAAATAGAGGAATGACAGGAATGGCTCCAGCTTTTGATTGGCATAGGCCTAATGATGACCTTCAAAATATAGGAATGGGTCTTGCTTCTGATGTCAGAATTGCCATTTGATCTTTTGAATGACCTTTTAAAATACAGGAATGGCTCTTGCGCGCTTCTGATGTCGGAATTTTGTTTTGATCTATTGAATAACCTTTTAAATACAGGAATGGCTCTTGCTTCTGATTGGCATTCTGATTCTTGATCTTGAAAATGACCTTCAAAATATAGGAATTGCTCTTGCCTCTGATGTCAGAATTGCCGTTTGATCTTTTGAATGACCTTTTAAAATACAGGAATGGCTCTTGCTTCTGATGTCAGAATTTTGTTTTGATCTATTGAATGACCTTTTAAAATACAGGAATGGCTCTTGCTTCTGGTTGGCATGCTCGGTCTGATTGTCGCCAGTGCATCGTCTATGGCTGCTCCATTATTCTTTGGATTTGTTGTCGATGCTGCTACTCATAAATCGATGTGTAAGTGGCCTACATAGTTTGAAGCATCAAATTCAAGATCTGTGGGTGGTCCTGCAAGTTGTGGGTTCGAGTCCAGGCTATGGGATTGTGGTTGTGTCCTTTGGCAAGAGACTTTGTCGAGATGGTATAAGGAATGTTGCACGGTTGATAATAATGTGAAGTACTTTGATATTTGTTGAAGTGCTATAAACATACCCATTATTGCTGGGCTCAAAGAGCTAGCTCAGTGTCCTCTTTGACATACAGAATCTCAATAACGGACTGACTGACTGACTGTTGCTTGTGAGCTAGGGCTCTGCATCGGAACTGGGTACCCGAGTACCCGACTGTTAATGTCAGGAACCGGTTCTAGATTATGGGCTTGGGTACCCGTAACCAACTTCAAAAATTACTCAGTTACTTCTCAGACATTGAACAAGAAAGGTTTTGAAGTCATTTATGGAGAATTTTCAAAATGAAAACCAGGCCACATGGGAAAACAAAACATATTTCACATTTTTGACGTACCTTGCTAAAGCTGCACATAACACCGTAAAGCTATAAAGCTCACTGTACACACTTGTATCTTGCTGTATTGCGGTAGTATTATCGTGCCGACCTTTGTAAACAATCTCAACAGCAACTTTCGAAATTTGAATTTTGGCATGTTTGGCGTTGGGTTTCTTATTCTTAAACGGGTAGCCGGGTACCCGTGTTTTTTTCAAGCGGGTACCCGGTTCCTGTACTACCCATAAATGCACACCCCTATTGTGAGCCGGGCAGTGCTATCATATAGGATTACCCTGTAACCCAAAATGAATGGGCAATAGCCATGAAAAGTGTGTTTCAAGTAAAAAGAATGTTGGTATTTCTTGATTCCAGCTGCCGTGAACAGTACCGTACTCGTCCTCTTCCTCATATTCGCCGGCGGGTCCATCGCTTCACTGCTTCGCTCCTGGGCCTTCACTCTTGCCGGTTATCGCGTTGTGTGTCGCATCCGTCGCGATCTGTTCGCGGCAATCATCCGCCAGGAGGTGGCGTTCTTTGACATCAACCGGACCGGCGAGCTGACCAATCGCTTGTCCTCGGACACTGCGGTTCTGCAAAACGCCGTCACGGTAAGGAAAACCCCAAACCTGTGATATTTCTGTTCTTAAAGTTGCTTGAACTGTGTTTTTCAACATAACCCTTTTCAATAAATTTTAACAGAAAAAGCTGTTTTTCCTATTGTGGACGTTTTCAATCCTCTGAAAATGTGGGGTTTTTTTGTGTGTTGCATTTGCAAATAACTGTGTTGCAAATAATTCAAAATTTAAAATAATTCATTATTAAAAGATGTCTCATTCCTAGAGCAAAAATATTTTGAGCCAATGAGATGAATGTGACCCAAGTCAGTTTCCCGTTCTGGTTTTAAGTTTATTGTGTCTTTCCTGTGCTTTTTTTCTTAATTATAAAAATTGTCGTGTTTTAGGTGAATATCTCGATGTTGGTGCGCTACTTGTTCCAAATCCTCGGGTCCATCATCATCATGTTCACTCAGAGCGCAGCCTTAACTGGTGTTCTGCTTTCAGTGGTTCCCATTGTGGCCATCGGGGCTGTCCAATACGGTAAGTGGATTCACAGTATCGGAATTTTCGCTTGACAAAAGGATCTTAAGACCTTAATATCATACCTTAATCTGAACGCTAAGTAAATTTTTTGACTTCAATGACGACTTTATTTAATTGTGCCTTTTGTTGTCGCCAAAACGATTTTATTTATATCATGGAAAATTGTTAGGCACAGTTCTGGACAAAGGGGAACTAAATACATGTACATTAAAAATAATAACAGGCCTGAAAAATAATAAGTGACAGAAGTGACTTGGAGAAATTGGTATTTTTTAATTTGCGTAGGGAAAATGGGAAAATGTTTGGAAATTTTAAGGAAAATCCGTTTAATTTTTTTTGAGAAATTTCAAACATAATGTATGGAAAGTTAAGAACTAACCAAATTTAACAACAATAAAAAACGAAGCATTGCCAAAGAAAAGGGGGCAATTCTGACGCTATAATTGGCATTTTGGGGTGACGCTAAATCTCTCTTTTTAGTCCCCCTTAAGACCGATTCATTTCGGCATTGAAGCGAATTTTGTGACATCACGGCCAGAATTTGCGCTGCAAATTCCCAAAAGTTGAACACTTTTTAACCGCAGCGAATTTTGACATCAAAGTCGCTTCGCATTCCCATCAGGTGTGAATGGACGTTTAGACATATAAATTATTATTATTATTTTTTTTAATCTTGAAATTGTTTCCAGGAAATTTCGTGAAGGACATCCGTAAGAATTTCCAGGACGCCCTCGGCAGTGCGGGCACGGTCGCAGAGGAGTCCATCTCCAGCATACGCACCGTGCGCTCGTTCCGCGGCGAGCCAAAGTCGCAGGCGTCCTACGACAAGGAGGTGGCGCTCAGTTACAAGTACGGCAAATCGTTGGCCGTGTTGACCGGCGTCTTCAATGGGCTTATAGGCATTATATCCCAGGTGTGTACACCAAATCTAAAATTTTGTTTCAGAGCGATGCAGAATGAGGGCCGATTTCAAACTTCTGGGGTAAAAACTTTCATGCTGGTAAAAATGTTGAATGTGCTTGTTGGAATCACTGTTCTCCTTATAAAAGTATATGGTTTCAATGTTTCAGTTTTACACTGCACGAGTACATACTGCTGTGCTTAGAAATGTGACCGATTCCTTTCCATTGCCACACCTCTGTAGAAATTTGTGCGGTACATTTTCAAATAATTTTTTATTTTGATTATTCCAGCTTGGTCTTAATCAAATAATTGAATATTTGAAGTGCACTGATCGAGTTTTACATGCCCCAGCCTAAACAGGATTTGCACTTGCCTGCACCTGCACCTGCGCCTGCTTTGTCTTAATCAAATAATTGAATAATTGAAGTGCACTGATCAAGTTTTACATGCCCCAGCCTAAACAGGTCGCCTAATCAGGATTTTTGCGTGCCTGCACCTGCTTGGACTTGATCAAATAATTAAATATTTGAAGTGCACTGATTGAGTTTTTAACATGCCCCAGCCTAAACAGGCCGCCTAAACAGGATTCGTGCACGCATACACCTGCGCCTGCACCTGCTTGGACTTGATCAAATAATTGAATATTTGAAGTGGACTGATCGAGTTTTACATGCCCCAGCCTAAACAGGCCGCCTAAACAGGATTTGTGCACGCCTGCACCTGCGCCTGCACCTGCGCCTGCTTGGACTTGATCAAATAATTGAATAATTGAAGTGCACTGATTGAGTTTTACATGCCCCAGCCTAAACAGGTCGCCTAAACAGGATTTTTGCGTGCCTGCACCTGCTTGGACTTGATCAAATAATTAAATATTCGAAGTGCACTGATTGAGTTTTTAACATGCCCCAGCCTAAACAGGCTGCCTAAACAGGATTTTTGTGCGCCTGCACCTGCGCCTGCACCTGCTTGGACTTGATCAAACGATTGAATATTTGAAATGAATTGATTGAGTTTTACATGCCCCAGCCTAAACAAGCCGCCTAAACAGGATTTGTGCGTGCCTGCACCTGTGCCTGCGCCTGCACCTGCACCTGCGCCTGCGCTTGGACTTGATCAAACGATTGAATATTTGAAGTGCATTGATTGAGTTTTACATGCCCCAGCCTAAACAGGCTGCCTATTCAGGATTTGTGCGTGCCTGCACCTGTGCCTGCGCCTGCACCTGCACCTGCGCCTGCGCTTGGACTTGATCAAACGATTGAATATTTGAAGTGCACTGATTGAGTTTTACATGCCGCAGCCTAAACAGGCTGCCTAATCAGGATTTGTGCGTGCCTGCACCTGCGCACGTGCCTGCGCCTGCACCTGCACCTGCGCCTGCACCTGCGCCTGCACCTGCACCGGCTTGTCAAATATTGGCTTTCGGTATGCATGTAAGTGTAGCATTTGACAGCCAATAAAACCATGCAACTTAATGTAAGATTAAAATAACTTGTAGGATTAACTTAGAGGTTTTTCAATCATCTCCTCGAGACCACTCACATTTTGGAATATTTGAATAAAACAATTTGCTATTCGTATATTTGGTTGATGATGAAATATTCAAATATTCAGTATATATTCAGCATAGCCCTAGTTTATCATAAAATGAATGTTCTTGTGATACAGGGAGCGATAGCCCTAGTACTATGGTACGGTGGCAAGCTTGTGCATCTGAACGTGACAACCGGAGGCACGCAAGGTATCAGCGTGGGCATTCTGACAGGTAAGATTGCATATATCCTAAAAGGCCATTATCCAAATCGCGGTTTTCTTTCCATCTTTGGCTTCATTTCTTGCTCAACAATCATTTTTTGTTGTTGAAACACTCCAATGTGGATATTTCGTATGAAAAACCCTATGTGTTCCAAAACATTTTATAAGCCCGATGAGCAGGGGTAATAATGATGTTGCAAAACGAGCACCAATTTAGACTTTGTTATTTATCATATTGGATTTTCGGAAATACTGGCCTAATTTGAGTACAATTTGACAGTGTTTTTTTTTTTTTGTTATTGACTGCCCAATGTAGCCTTCATGCTGTACACGCTGAACGTAGCCATGGCGTTTGCCTTTCTGGCCTCGCTCTATGGGGATTTCATGCAGGCGGTGGGCGCGTCCATCCGCATCTTTGCTCTGATGGACCGCCAGCCGGAAGTCAGCAACGAGGGCGGGCAGCACCTGATGGAGTTCAACGGGGAACTGGAGTTCGAAGACGTCCATTTCAAGTATCCCTCCCGACCGGAAAATGAAGTACTCAAGGTATATGAAATCCCTCCCCCTCCCCTTTTTCTAAACCCCACCCCTCCCCCTTACCACTCTGAAACCAATTTTATGAAATTTAATCTCAAGGATAAGCAAAGTTTTGGATGCAGATTTCACAAATTGTTGAAGTTTTCATTCACAAAATTGCACAGGAAAAATGGTAAATGTGACTTACACTAAATTATGACAATTCAGAAAATTTTCAATTTCAAAAGATTATTTCCGCCGTTCTTGATAGGACCAAGAAAAAGAAAGACTCATATAACGTTAAAGCCTTTGCATTTTTCCCTGAAAAGCATCCAAGACCAATTTCCCCTCATGGAAACCCCTGGCATTCCAAGTGGAATATTCCAAGTGCCCTTAACAACCCATGCTTCCCATTGACATGGGTGATTCCAATGATTACTTTCGGGGGGTGTCTCTGAAGGGGGACATGAGCTCCTTTTTATGTTTAACACTAACCCCATTGGCATTTTTGTTGACAAACATCATTTCGCTACCCCTATATTCCAAGTGGAACATTCCAAGTACCCTTGTTAACCCATGCACTCAGTTAACTTGGGTTATACAATGTCTGGTTCATAAGGGGGTGTCCTTCAGCATGAACCTAAGCCAGGCCTTGGCATTTTTTGTTCAGAAACATCCGAATGAATATTTCCATGCAGCTACCCCCTATATTAAAGGTGGAACATTCCAAGTACTCTTTGCAACCCATGCTTTTATCATACTCGGGTTGTACCAATGTCTACTTCCAGGGGGTGTCTTTCGACATGAAGCCAGGCCAAGTCATGGCTTTGGTCGGTCCCTCCGGAGGCGGCAAATCTACGATAGTCAATCTCATCGAGAGATTTTATGAACCTACCTCCGGCTCCGTCAAGCTTGGTATGTCATCGATTTTTACGTCTCACTTTCTCTTTTCATTTCAGAAAATCATAAACTCCATTTAAAGCATGAAAACAAGCCTGTCTCAAAAATTCATTGCCTGTTCCATCATGTGTTGTGTATGGCATTTTTTTAATCAGTGAATTTATTTTAATCACATTTTTGACTGTATATATTTTGAAGGAAGTATGTATTTCAATATTTGTGAATTTGTAAAATATATATTTTGTCTGATTTTTTTTTAGGCAAAGTGGGGTTCATAGCTAAATTTCTCCACATTTGTACACAGATGGAGTCAGTCTATCCGAGCTGGATCCGATGTTTTTCCGGCGAAAGATTTCCATGGTCAGTCAGGAGCCGTCCTTGTTTGCCTGTTCCATCAAGGACAATATTGCTTATGGGAAGGATGCAACAGATGAGGAGGTAAGTTCAGATACCAGACCTGGTTTTAGCATTTGCAGATAAAGCCGAATTGACGGATTTCCTAATAATTTGTAAGATGATGTAAGAGTCGACCTGTATTAGACTTTATCTAGCATTGGCAGAGGAGGAATTGAATAGAAATATAGCCTTATAATGGTTAGAATGAGGATGAAGTGCGGGTACCGGACCTGATGGTATTGGAAGGATGGGCCAAATAGACAGATTATTGGTGAGATAAGGTAAGCGCAGGTACCATACCTCATTTATCATTGGCAGACAGGGCAAACTAGATTGTTACCTACTTAATGGGAAGGATGAGGATGGAGTACGGGTACCAGACCCAATGTAGTATTTGCAAGGAATGCCAAATAGACTGATACCCTGATAATATGATAGATGGAAAGCTAAGCGCAGGTACAAGACCTTATCTAGCATAAGCTGGGAGACAAAATAGATTGACACCTTGACAGTGGGTTAAATATGTGAATGCGGGTACCAGACCTCATCTAGCATTATCAGCGTTGGCCAAATAGGCTGATTCCCTTATATAGACTGATTCCATTTTAAATCATTTCTTAAAAAACAAGATTCAAGAGTTCAATCTCTGGATTTCTCTCCAATTTTAGATAGAGCAAGCGGCTAGAATGGCCAACGCCCATGACTTCATTACGTCATTTGAGGAGGGTTACAAGACCCTGGTAGGGGAAAGAGGAGTTCGTCTGTCGGGAGGCCAGAAACAACGAGTTGCTATCGCGAGAGCCCTCATCATGGATCCTAAGATATTACTCTTGGATGAGGTAAGGTGAAGAGGTTTTGAATGGGAAATGTTGGGTAAATCGGGGTAGATGGAATATTGCTATAAATCTGCTTGACTGAAATTGCTCTGTGACATTGTGTGCTACAGGTTTTAGCTGTTCCAGAGGGCCAGCCTAGCGCCTTCTTTGCATCAATCTCACTGACTGACTGACTGACTGATTTACTGACTCGCTCCCACTTGTGAGCCGGGCAGTGCTATCGTATAGGATTACCCCATTACACCTATGAATGGGCTAAATCCGGCCCATTGTGTAGACCAGATGCACGAAAAGACTTCCAGTGAACAGCCATTCTGAATCAGTTGAATAGAATGTTGTATGCTCCATGACCAGACTTATTAGGTTTGCCTAGTCTTGTTTAAGCTGATTTTGTAATCCTGATCAGGCATGCAACTTTTCCTCGGATCAGCTGATTTCCTCTTGTTTTACTTCCCATGTGTGCCATTGACAATAGAAAAACGCTGTACAAAGTCTGGGAAATATTTGAATTTCCTCTTTTTGGGGGATTTCCCAGTTGCATGCCTGCCTGATGGCAAAATAACTTTCATGTTTCTGCTGCTTGTTTGTAGGCTACCAGCGCCTTAGATGCAGAGAGCGAGCATCTAGTACAAGAAGCTATCGATAGAGCCATGGTGGGACGGACGGTGCTTATCATCGCTCACCGACTATCCACAGTCAGGAATGCGTCACAGGTATGTCAGTACATGCAATAGGCTAGGGACCCTTTTAAATTTGTGTACATATCTCACAGTGCTTGTGACCGAGCTACCGTGGTCACCTGACCAAAACGTTGCAATCTTATTGGGCCTGTTTGATTGATGGTCTGGAAGGGGCTGTTGCTTTTAACCCTAACTCTCCAAGATCCTTTAAAATCTATTAGTCTTGGCAATTTTGGCACTCGGACGTGAGAAATTCCAAGGCATACTCAGAATTTCACGGATCAGGTTGCCAACATTCCCAAGACTGGATTTGATTCATCTCCTTGATAGAGCCATCTACCTCCACGGTAGCTTGGCTGCAATTGGTGGTGTTTAATAGACAATTTAAATCAAGAACAAGAGTCATATCTGTCTTTTATATTCCCCTTTAAGGTTCTAGTCATCAACCACGGCAGGATAGCTGAGAAAGGAACTCACGACGAACTAGTTGGTAAGGGCGGTATCTACAAGAAACTGGTACTTCGTCAGTTGAGCGCAGCGGGCGGGGCCATCAACACCATCCCCGAGGATCTGATCCTTGATGACGAAACCGATGAGGTCATCGAGCTGGCGAACGGCTTGGACTGAGAACTGTTGGCCTGGCAACCTGAGACAACCTGAGCTACTTAAGTATTTTCTTCTGTCAGTGTTGTAGTCCATTCAATGTAGTCCTCACAAGTCCATCAAGTTAGTCACAAGTCAATCACAAGTCCTCATAATTTCATCACAGGTCTTCACAAGTCCCTCTCAAGTCTGTCACAAATCCTCACAAGTTCAATACAAGTCCTCACCAGTCCATCAAAAGTCAGTCACAAGTCATCTGTTAGTGTTGTAGTCAAGTCCAACACATGTCCTCACAAATCCAATACGAGTCTATCAAAAGTCTATCGTAAGTCCAACACAATTCCTCACAAGTTTATCTCAAGTCAGTCACAAGTCATATTTTGATGTTGTAGTCAAGTCCAACACAAGTCCTCACAAGTCCATCACAAGTCAGTCCCAAGTCCTCACAAAGTCCATCACAAGTCCGTCACAAATCCTCACAAGTCCTTCACAAATCATCGTTTAGTGTTGTAGTCATATCCAACACGAGTCCTCAAAAGCCCATCACAAGATAGTCCCAATCCAACGCAAGTCCAACAAAAGTCCTCACAAGACTATCAAAAGTCGGTCACATGTCATCTATTAGTATTGTATTCAAGTCCGACAAGTCCTCACAAGTTCATCACAAGACAGTCACAATCAAACACAAGTCCTCACAAGTCTATCACAAGTCCTCAAAATTCCAACACAATTCTTCACAAATCCAACACAAGGCCTCACAAGTCCTCAGAAGTCCATCTCACATCAGTCACAATCCAGCACAGTTCCTCACAAGTCCTCACAAGCCAACACAAGTGAATCTCAGGTTGTTCAGCTCCAAGTCAAGTCTCCAGCTTCTCAAATGAAATTTGACAAAAGGTATTCCTTATTGAACTTGTGAATTGGCATGAGATTTATCGTTCATTTTATTATGCATTGTACTATTTCAATACGTGTATTTTTACTTTTGATGGGGTTTCAAGGCAAAATTGGTGTTTTTATGTTAAATGTATTACCATATTCATAAGCAAGTCAGTGATGTCATCTTTGGCAGAAGCCATGGCCGTACGCTGCTCGAGCAAAGTTGCTAGAATTTTGTTCAATTTTTGTCAATCTTTTTAGTGTTTCCTTTTGTCAATTCAGATCATAATGATGGCCAGTGATTTTGTAAATTCAATAGCAAAATGTTAAAAAAAAGCAACATCATTGCCAACGAAAAGCCTAAACGGATATAAAAGGATGTGTCAAATATGGCATCACAGCCCTCGGGTGTCAGAAAGTAGCATAGATATTTGTAAATTTTTGAAAGAAAGTGAATTTAGTTATTAAATATTCAATCAATGGTAGCAATGTGCCTGCGAGCTTTCTCTCTGTATATTACAAATTTGTTGATTATTAGAATTTTGTTTTAGTTGTTTTATACTTTTATTCTTTTTTTATTGTAAGGGTTGAATTGTGCGTATAAAAAAAAATCGCCGAGGGGATAATTATGTCAGAAAAGGGGTGTGGCTTAAGGTTTAAATACGGGGAGGTCAGTCAAACTATGAAGTGGCCCTCTCATGCTATTTTTGAGTTTCACCCTTAAAAAATATATTTTGTTTTTTTAATTGCCATTTTTCTAGCGATACAAATGTTATTCATGTTTGAACGAGACATCAGAGAAAACAATGACTACACAAATTTTTAATTGTTTCAGGCCTACTTTTTATATGTTATAGGCACAAAAGCAACCCAAAATAAAAGCGTTGAAAACATCCAAAACAGACAAAAAGGAGCCTTTTCCGTTTATAAATAAAACATACACGTTGGAAAATTTGTTTGGAGAGAAAAATAAAATTGAATATATGTTTTTTGAAGACCACTGGTAGTGAAACTTCACACACTTAAAAGAAAACGGTGTTGGATAGAATTTGCATCCCAATAAGTGTGGCCCAACTATAGTTGGTCTAAGATAATGTTGAAGATATTTAAAAAGAGACCAGTGACCGAGTATTTTTTTTTTTTGGCCTTACATTGATTACGTTGTGAAGATTTTATTGTAAACATTGTTTAACTAGTAGTTTTCAAAATATATTTTCTTTAAAACTTCAGGTAGAGATTTTTGTATTATGTGTATTCTTTGGGATCACCACTACTGTGTCAAAAGGACTAAATTTAGAAAATTTAAATTGTTTGTACAAATTAATTTTGGTTGGTATTATTTAAATGCAACTATATTAATTTACAAAATATAATTGTAGGCTGAAAGAAATTATGGCACGTTCTTTAAAAGAACATATTTTTTTGTATTAATTAAGAGGAGCACATTGTGTTTGAATATTTTTTGGAATAAATTTCATTGAAATGCAGTGTGTGACCCATACCAAGTTTCGTGGAATTCCTAAGTGGAAAATTTTGCCGAGCAAATTTGCTTTCTTATAAAGCGCCATCAAACCAGACCCAACCGAAGTCACCCAATCACAAGTCGCATATGTAACACGATAAGGCATATACGCATAGGAGAAGACCTTATGAACTAGCACTTTGTTTACATGTGCGCACATGTAAACAAAAGTGTGATGTCATTAGGTCTTAGGTCAATTTAAAGTTGGTAAAATGTAGCTGCCGGTTTTAAAGAGCAAAATTATGCTCAAACTGAAAGCAGGGAGTGTACCAAAAACCCTGTGAAATTCGTCCTCCTGAAATGGTATCATTCAGAAGAATTGAAGATGGTTTTAAAAGTGTGCCAGCTGGCACACTTTTTCTACATATGTTAGCAACGGAATCCTGTTACAAGACCTGCCTCCCCACAATGTGTGTTTTCTCGGTTTTCTCGAAATGTTTAGTATCCACTGAGCTGAAACTTTAACGGGTTATAGTAGTGCACTCTACTCAAGATTAATTTAAAGCAATTTTGTTGTTTCAAATGAAAAACTACACAAAGAGCAAATAATCCAAATAGATAATTGTTTACAGTGGCATCTATGACAAATTTATTTGCTGGATTGTAACTTTATGTCAAAATATTTTCTTCTGAAGGTCCCAAATGTTAAAGGTTAGGTAAGCATCGGAAATGTGTACGGATGGGAAGCCTAAACTGATCCCCACGTTCGGTGGACAGCACATCCTAGCAGGAAAACATCAGGAAATACACTAGTTGTTATCTCAAAAGGCAGAATCCGATGCAGCAACAGTAAAGGAAAGTTGGCAGGCTAAGGTCGCGAGGTTGGGTAGGAAAAATATCCCCTATTTTCTACACTGTGCATCACACTATATTAATTTATATACAATTGTACTCTATTTCGTCTCTTAATTTTCGGTACTTCATGAAACAGCCGCCGGGCATCTTTGATCGGGACGAAAATGAAGAGGCACATTTTCATCCAAAAAAAAAAAAGAAGGAAAAATCGGGGAGTTACAATTATTGTGATTGGTTTTTTTTATGCTTGGGTAAGGGTAAGTGTACCCGTATGTGGAATATTAGGTCGAATAATGTCGGTGAAAACGAGTGTTTTCAGTTACTTTTTATTGCACAGATAATGTGTAGGGCCTAATTGCGCACACGGACTTTCATCCAGTAGACTGGCCCCTGCACACTGGGGCTAGGTAACATCATTAACCGCCCCACGGCCACCCCTCCACAATTAAAAAAACCCAAATGAATAAACGTTAAAATAATAAATCAATATCTGAAATCTGTGTTGGACGAAGTGTCTTCAATTCCCATAATTTTTTTCTTCGCAGAATTCAGATCCACCAATGAACAGGCACGTACCATAAAGCTAGGTCTGGTGCCCCGTCCGTATTGTGTAGATTTTCGGCGTAGTGTCAGTAATGCCACCAGACCATGAGCGGTCAAACTTGTTTTAGGCGGGACATTTACCGGTTTTGACTGGTACTTTTGTGGGCCTGTGCGTCAAAAGGAAACTCGACCTTGACTTGTGACACAATATGGACACTTTGCTGGCTGCTGTCGGGTAAGATTGAGCTAACTGTGCATATGGCTAGCCTAAGTTTAGTCGCAAACTAAATCTATTCTAGTGACGGCTAGTAACAATGCAATACCACTAGTAATAATTAATATTGTTGACCCTAACCTTGCGCGCGGCCCCTAACGTGGCGCACTTTGAATTTTCGCCAGTATAGCGCCAAGCCAGAGAAAAAAGTTTAGAAAACAATTGTCTGACAAACTTCAAGTTGGGTATGTAAGTAGAGATAATAATAGTTTTTCAAAATTTATCAACTTTACATAAATTATTAGATGTTAATTTGGAATTTTCCGAGATTTATTTAAGTGCGCTACGTTAGGGAACACTCGGCCGATTTTGTGCCCAATTTCCGGACGCCGCCGTTTTTTGAATTTCGGATTAAATTTCATGACACCGAAATTCACAGTGCCAGTCTCCTCGGTGCACAAGTAGGCCTAGTAGTAGTACTCGAAGGAGCAGATTGTCCTCGAAGAACTATAAAAGATAACCGTGAGATAAAAACAGTTTTAGAAACAGGAGGAAATGTAATTGAAATCCAAAGGTGCAAGGCTGGTACCGGGAAACGAGGCCCATTTTTCGGAACCGCAGCATTTCCTTGACTTTTGTTGATTCAGGCCTTCCGAGTTTTGACAAGTTGACCCAAGTACGTGTTAAAGCAAGCCCGTAGGCCTACGTGTCATTAACCTGATACAATGTACAAAATGTATAAAAGTTGTGCATAGGCTCCCTAATAAAAGTTGGCCCTCCCTTAAACAATTATCAATGGTCTAAAATCTTGCTTTAAAAAGTCCAAATTAACAAAACGAGTGGGGAACAATGTATTTAGGGTAACCTCGTCCCCATTATGTGTATGAGCAGTATGGTGTTATTTATTGCTCACTTGCGATGTAAGACCCTGGGAATAAGGTTTGGGGAGGGGGAAGACATCAACTAACACATGGTGGCGCTGTTTGTGGTTCAAACACGTTACACAAGTTGCTTTGGCAGTGTTTTTTTCTCTCTGAATTTTCCCATTTTTATCTTTGACAGAAGTAACGACATTAACGACGAATGTTGGTCGCCTACTGCTGTAGTCCCGAATGTTTTCACCTTTTCTCGTCCGTATCAGGTAAGATCAGTTAGATTGTCATCGGAACACACTAAATCCCCGATTTCAATTTGGTAATTTTCATTTGGTATGTAATGTAAAGGTCTGATTCATTTTTGGGGGGCTGTTAAAAATGTTACAACAATTTAATTTCGGGAAGTTGCAATCGATTTGTTTATTGACATTTAGCTTTGTAACAACAGGCTCAATATTGTATCTAAGTTACTTTTTATAAACGAAAAATTGAAAATTTACATTAAACTGTGCCATAAGACAGTTCGGGTAATATTCAGCAAAATTAGCATTTTATTTACAAGTGCAATTATACAGTTTAACTGTGTTCTATAAACATAATTACAACAATACTCATTTTGTCCCTCTGTTAGTGGTACTTTAACAGGAATTAATCGTACAAATTCGCGGGCATTATAGACCTAGGCTATGTAACATTAGAACAATAAACTCACACACAGAACCTAGCAACACATTAAGGAAGACCGCCTATATATTTTTTTACACGATCGTAAATCGGGGACCCTTGGGATTTGGGGAAGTATTGTTCAACGTCCCCTATTGAATGCAGAAACAAACTCACACAAGCTGGCAACGCTACAAGTGTTCTTACAATGGTACATTAAAAAAAACTGCCTCAAATGGTATATAGGCCTATCTAAAAATGAAACAAGTTAAAAATTACAATATTCAGTAATTAATCGTACAAATTCGCGGGCATAGACCTATGTAACATTCGAACAATAAACTCACACACAGAAGCTGACAACACATAAAGTTCTGACAATAATACATCATAAAAAAACTGCCTCAAATGGTTTCCGAAAATTAAACAAGTTACTAATTACAAAAGTATTTGCAAAGAAAAACAGGTTACCAACCAAGATGTCACGTTAGAGATACATAAACTTCTCGTGACTGTTCCCAGCTGATCACTGCTTAACAATAACTGCATGCTAGCTAAACTACACTTTCTGCTAAAGCAATTAGCCATTGCATGAAAAACGGGTCTTGGATATTTCCCTCTTGTCCAAGGTCTTTTATCCCGAGTTTGATAGCACCGTTTCCGCACTAAAGACATCGTCGTCACTCAACCACCCTCCGCCCTGCATGCATAATTATGAGGAAATGACCGGGCCAAAAAAAAAAGGGCTCAAAGGGCTTTTTTTTGGCCTTATCAGTTCATGTGAACAATTCAAAATCAAGATGTTCGTCTGAAGAATGGCAAACAAGGAAATAAATTTTAAACAAAAAGGAAAATAAATTCAAGCTTAACATTTCCTCATCCTTTAAATAGTATTCTCGTTTGTCACGGAGCTTTCAAAGGGCTGTCTGGGTCATTCAAGCAAAACCTATCCCAATGTACTTTACATTATATATTTGTTCTGATATATCTGTTATTTAAGACAAAAATAACTTTTAGTGTCTATGATATACAAAGCTTCAACATAGACGTTTGAACAATAATTATAGTGTCTATATATAGAGCACTCTGCGTTGCAAATTTCGTCATCAAAATTATAACCAATTTTAATACGAAAAACAACGGAAAAACACGTAAAAATAATATCAAATATTTAATATAAGAAATAATTGAAATTGTGAATGTTCGTACCGGGCAACAATTTTGGATAAGGGTAAGTTCGAGCGATGTTTTTCGTTGAACACCTATTTTTGGTTCGATCGGCAAACTTCCTTGTAATTTTTATATTTTTATTAGAGTGTCGAGTGTCGTTTGTGAGATATCCGGTTGATACCCTAAAAAATAGTGAATGTTTGTTTTCTCTGAATATGGAAACTACGGGGAACTGAAACTCGAACAACGCTTGTGTCAGCATTGGCCCTATAAATTGACTTTTGACGGGATCAAAATTCAAGTGGGTTTAAGTTAAAAAAAATAATAATAATGCTTCTCTTGTTAGAACGTATTCATTATAATTGATATCGTTACATTGTAATGATTTAACATTTTACAGAGATATTTTACTTTCCAAATATATTTAAAATACATATAATGTGCTCCAGTGACTTGTCAAAACAAAACTTCCATCTTATGAAAACAAAACTTAATATTTACAATGATCTTTTCTCTTCTGAAAAACTTCGGAGTTTTTATTTTTGTACATACAGCAAATCAAAAAAAAACCTATATCGTAAAGAGAATGTCAAAACTCCCCAACCACACTTTTGTCAGTAACATCTGCGCTGACAATATACATTATTGTGCGCATAAGACGAACCAAAATTGATGTTTCATCTTATGATAATTTTCAATTACGATAATTGCAAAACAATAATTTTCTGAACATCACAATCATAATATCTAATGTATAGCAAAAAATAGCTTCAATTGAACGCTCGATCAAAACATAGCTTTGCAAAAGCATATCACGAGCCAATATGTGTGGGCTACTGCTTGATAGTCTCGCTTGATTTCACTTGATTTATAGCATAAACGTTAGCATATAATTTCTGCGAAGAAGCCTCATTAAATCGGGTCCAGGACTCTAGGTATTTAATTGGGTTTGATTGCATGAGCACAGACATTAACTACAAGCGCGGAAAGTGCCGATATTTAGAAACGGGCAATCAGCCAAAATATCAGCAAATGAACATATGTGGTGACTGATTCTCGGCTGGTCATGTGTACTTGGCCCGTAATTCTTTTGCGTAGCATGATTGTGCTTAGCTAAGTCAAGAAATTTCGTCTGGTTCTAGACAATTTAAATTCAAGCCTTGTTAACCTGATTGAGGGCAACGTTCTTGCTTGAGAGTCTGCGGACCAGCCTGGACGGCTCGGGGATCTTGCTGCAGCGGCAGCGGATCATCATGCGAAGCACCACCTTGAGCTGGGGGTGCTTGGTGGCATAGACGATGGGATTGATCCAAGTGTTGCACAGGAAGATGGTGCCACCGTACAGGGTGTACCCGCTGCCCATGAACAGCATGACGCTGTACGGGGTGATGCAGACGAAGTACACCACCACGATCATGAGCAAGTTCTTGGTGATCTGGATCTGCTGTCGGCTCAACTTCGCGTGGACTTGGTTGTCCATGGTGTCGGGCCCTTGTACCTGGGGGCAGTCGGAGGGGATGAAGTTGCTGGAGATGGGCCCGCTGGGCGCGTCTTTAGACACTATGGTGGAGGGTCGGCGCTTCCGCTGGGCGATGAAGTGGCTCCGGACATGAGCGAAGACCAGCGCGTAGCAGATGATGATGATCAGCATGGGGCCGGGGAAGAAGAAGACAACCTGGATGAGCTGGTAGAGCTTGGCCATCGGGTGGGTGTCCTGATCGGTGCAGGTGTATTCTTCTTCATCGTAGCCCAGTCCTCCGATGTTGGCAAGTGGAGGGAGGAGGATGACACAGAATGCTACCAGCCAGGACAGGACTACCAGGAAGACGATCTTGGCAGGGGTGTAGAGCCACTGGTAGAGGGTCATGGGCCGCTTGATTAGGATGACGCGATTGAGAGCGATGCTGGCCATGTGGTAGAGACTGGCTCCGGAACTTACGTAGCTGATGAAGGCTGTTAGCATGCAGGGGACGTGAGCACCAGGCAGCCCGTTTCTGCTGAACAGACCCGCCACGCTCCACGGGAGACAGAAGCAGGAGAGGAAATCAGCCACGGCCAAGTTGACCACGAAGACATTAGTGGGAGTCCGGAGCTTTCTGGACAGGGCTACGGCCAGGATGACCATCCCGTTCCCGGTCATTCCTAAGATCGAGATGATGAGCCACATGAGACCGATAAAGACCCGCTCCTTATAGCTGTACAACTCGACCGACTCCCCGGCAGAAGGTGCGACCGTGTCCGTGGTCATCATCGCCCCGGTCAGACCTGGCGTGGCGGCTGTGGTAAAGTTGCCGGGGAAATCGCCCGAGACAACGGTACCGATCTGGGTGGGATCCATGGTGAAATCGATGCTTCGCCAACCAAACCTATCAAAAAGTTTCAGCGGGAGCTTGTGTTCTGATGCCACCGCATTCAATGCTCACATTTAGTGAAATGACAAATGGCAGAACTAACCAGTGACTTTTGTCTATTTCCTCCCCACGCGCCAAAGGTAATTATCATATTCTTTCCCGAGAAGTACTTCCGTAATCTCGCTTCCCTACATCATACTGGTGTTGTGCTTTACCATAGACCTACAAGGTTTGAGTTTACAGTCGTGAACGCTGAGGTGATTGTTCGCAAGGACATTGGAGCGATTTATAAAACCAAGCATTTCCAAATTTACTGGGATTGCTTTTCTTTTCCTCTATACCTGCCATGCAGCGCAAGGATTGACAAACAAGCAGGCGACCGACAAATAAGCAGATATCTACCCATCTAAATTCAAGTTATTCAGAATCACAAAAGTGCAACTACCAGCAAGTACAAGGCACAGAATAATAAAGATGGACATGTAGGAAGACACAACAAAGCCGAATGTGTTGAATCCCATCTTGAAATTAAGGGGGAAAAATAAGTCTGTTAATTTTATCCCGCTTTTTAGAGTTTGCCCTACTCCTTTTCTCCAATTTCCGATTATAAAACAGACCAAGTGAATACATTCGAGGAAATCGTTTCTATTTGCTAAGTCCTATATCTATAGAAATAATCGTGGTTGTAAATTGTTAGGTACCTATAGACCGCGGTGTGTTATACTTATAGCCTATTTTATAGGTGAACATTAAAGTGACTCACGATGGCGTCATCACAAGTCATGTGACGTCACATTGAAGATGCACTTTCAAATGTCTACATCTACAGAACTGTACATGTGTTGTATTTCCATTTTGGTTGTAACTTGGTAGGAACCTAGACCGGGATGTGTTAGATACAATTTTCAGTGACGTCATGATGAGGCCATCACACGTCACAGGGTCATTTCAAACAGCCAAATCAGCTGTGTTTTGTCCACGTGACAAACACATTTCTAGTTTTATACTGCTGTTTAGAGTTGGTCTTACTCCCTTTCTCCAAATTATAAAGCAGACCTGAGGCAATTTGAGGCAAATCGTTTCTATCGACAAACAACAAACTAGCACGGTCCTTTTCCAAACACTTGAAAGGTATCCTTTTTTTAATGTATAAATTAAAGCCCCATACTACAACCCCTGCTTTGCATGATCATATCAGGGATCGATTTACACAATATTGATTTATGGGTAACTGAAGATAGACCTACCACAGGGAAAACAGTGTAATGTGGACATTATTGCAACAGTTCTACATAATGGAAAGACAACTACGAAATCGGAGACAACGGTGGGAACAAAATGAAATGTGTCACAAATTTGCAGCTGAGCTAACTCATCAAAGAAAGATCTTTTGTCTCTTGGTCAGTGTGGTAATTAAACTGATTTGCCCAAGCATCGGCAAGAATTGATTTTTTTCTCTCTCGGATGATGTTACCTGATATTCTAGAGCAGAATAGGCCTAATTGTTAATTAATTATACGGATTGGAAAAAAATGGATAAAAGGGAGGGCGAGGTTTGAAAGACACCCAGACGGTTGAGTGAAGGATTGTTGACAACATATCTCAGGTATTCTGGCTGCAGAGGTTATCCTATACCTGCAAACTTCAATTTAGAGGCATACGGTAAGTGTTATCACTATATCTTCAATTTTGTTTTTCTATTGCGAATTAAGGAGTGATGGGGGCTTAGTACCCTAATTGAGCTATGTTAAGGTATATGGCCACTTCTTAAACTGTAGTTTAATATTTCGAAAATGGAAAACAAATAGACCAAAGCTTGAAATGAGGACCCTTGAAAGTTAAAAAATTAGACGGTCATTATTTCAGAAAATGTTAACTGTTCTGAAATGTTTTGTGCTCGATATTGTTTTCTTCAGAAGAATGGCTCCGCCATTTTGTTTCTACTTGGTCGCGGCGTTGATGGCGCTGTCCATGTCATCTCCGCCGACGGTGAGGGCGTCATCGTCCACCCGGCGCTACTACTCCTGCACCGATCTCGCCGGGGCCAAGTTGCAGGTCAAGCTAGAGGTACTACGCGCGAACGAGGAGGCGATCGTGTCCCTGTCCAACGAGTACCTCAACACCTCCCTGCCCGACAGCCCCTGGGACCTGCGACTGCTGAGGGCCTTCAAGCGGCTGAAGCAGAGGCGAAACAGACACGACGATATCGGGGCCCTGGTGGCAAACATCACGGTGGACCTCAACGAGCAGACTCAGACACTCGTGCAAGCCTGCAATGGCAATGGGCTACTACTTAATGGAAGCCTCTGATGCTAAGGGGACAAAGCAGAATAAGGAAATAGGACCACACCGATCGAACTTGACAACTGTGGAGAAACTAAACATGTTTTAGAAAATAATAGAAATCTCCCCCCCCCCCCTTATTTTCTCGTGCCCACTTAAACAAGGGATATCTGGGGCCAATTTTATGGATCCGCTCAGTAGCACAGAACTTGCTTAGCAAACTGCCGGTTACCAGCCAAAATTGCATGCGATGTAATATTGCTTTAAACTGGTGCACAGCTGGTGCATGCTTAACACACACAAAAAGGCTAAGCAATTATTTAACAGCTGAATGAAATTTGACCCTGGTGTAGTACATGTACCGCCAAATTTGAGCGAGCCGGGAAACGCAAAGCATTGTGGGTAATAACCTCCTAGGATTGCACCAGGATTGTTTTCAGGTTACAGTTACCAAACTTACATGGTTTCAAATGCATTTCAGGTTACCAATGGATGAGGCATTCAGTATGAACGAACTATGTCTTTACAAATCATTCGGCTCAATTTCTTGGCATTGCGCCAGCTCGATCGGAGAAACAAAACGTGCTCACATTTCAAGTTGTAACCCGAAAATATTGCGCAAGCGCTGATCTTGTTCACACTTCTCTCGATAACCCACGCAGATAATAATCAAGCAAACTTTCCCAACATAAATTAGGAAACTTTATTTGCTGGAGTCCCGACGTAAGTTCGCTTGAGTTCGAAGTTTTGTCGACGCCGGCGTTCCGCAAGTTTTTGATGACATTGGTGGTTTTCAGCATGATTGCTCAACCTGGTTTTGATTAAAGATAAAAAAAAAAAAAGTGTTAACCGAACCCTGGTGAATTTCTGGGTAGCTTCTCTAAATTCACTTAATAAAAAATGCTTTTGTAAATGTGTAGACTTATACTTACAAAGTTAGAAAGAGTTAACGATATACTAGTATAATAAAACATTAGAAGCATGATCCATGTAGTTTCACAGACTGTGTAATTTTGTGCGGAGTCTATTGTGTGTGAATAGTAACAATTTGATATTGTTCAAGCAGACATCGTGATACCCAAGTTTTACAGATCGGATTGTGCCCAGCCCGACTTCAACTTTTTCAAATTTTCTAGAACTCCCCCATATCATTCTACTCTTAAAGCCCTTGGTTTGACATTTAAGTACTTATTTTCCCTTGAATGTTTAGATTGAAATCGAAGCTAACCTGGTAACTGTTGTCGCCCCTCGAATTGGTTTTACTCAATACTCTAGAAACCTACACACTTACAAAGGAACATAGTCTTTATTGTGGTAGCGATCAGGTTGTTTTGGTCCAATGTGGCGAGTCCGTTCAGACAGCAATCAAAAGTTCTCCCTGTACCGCCCCAAACCGCCCTAGGCTGCCTATTTCTCCCTGACACCGCCCCAAACCGCCCGAGCGCTCAATACTTTTATGGAATGAATACATTACGATGTAATGCAATGTGGCACAGGTGCTTGCGGGTTTGCCTGAAAGGAAACAAAATGATGGGTCAATATACTTGCACAATATACGCAGAAGGAAACCGTAAAATCCGGGTAAACTGTGCCAGCGGAAACCGATAGTGGGTCAAAGACACGAACTACACGGTACAACCTTCCCAGAAACTAGACTCGCCCTCAAGGCTTCCGTTTCCTGTCCGTAACCGCACTAACTTGCATATTACAGGTGGTTGACACTTCAATGATTTCTACGACTGCACTCAAGGACAAGCATATGCTAGGTTTTTTTCCTTTTGCATTGAATGTGGGTTTTTTTTCGTTTTAAATCTTCATTTTGCTTTGCATCCAGAGTGTTTTAACTTGAAATGGAAGGAAACAATGAACATTAGGCATAAATAATGTAGATTAACTCCGGCAATGATGTCACGTAGGCCCTATACAAGGTGAGTTAAAAAAAAACACCGAAACCCAAATGTCGGGACCATTTTTTTTTTAGTAAAGTTCTGCATGTAGCACTTTCAAAATCTAGGATACAAAAGCCCAATTCATAAGCTTTCTATTACTAAGAATCATTCAAATTACTCACTTTTCAAGTTACGGAATTGTAAACACAAACACCGTTTTGAAGTTCTGTCCGTACCACGGATCACAAAACAAGGTAAGTGTTCTTTCAGCAAAACGAAAACAATTCACATAGGGATGTGTGTGAATTGTTTTTGTTGTGCTGAAAACAGAAACCAATTACCTTTTTTGTGATCCGTGGACAGAAGTTCAAAGCGGTTTGGTGTTTAAAATTCCGTAACGTGAAAAGTACATGAGTGATTTGAATTGAATGATTCTTGTACTCGAAGAAAGCTTATGAAATGGGCTTGCATATCCTAGATATTGAAAGTGTTACATGCAGAACCCGACATTTTGGGTTTCGTTTTTTTTTTTTTTACTCACCCTGTATAAATTTACCTTTCGCATTGAAGTACGAGAATTTAAACTGGACGTAAAATGCAATCATTGGGGGAAAAAAGTAAGTCCCTATTAAAATTTGGGGGAAAAGACATGTGTAAGACCGTTAGTTTTTTTGTCTTTTTCAATAAAACAAAAATATGCATGACAACAACTTACAATATAGAACAACTTCTTGACAAAGGGAGACCTAACGTCCTTGAAATAATCGGCCCACAAAGACTAAGGGGTTTACGAAAACTCGCCGATCGTCTTCGACTTCGGACATAGCCAATTTTAGGTCCATACTCTCTAATGATCATGAACTCAGCTATGACGCCACAGCCGGAGACGAAGCCGCGATTTCAAATGTCTCACTGTGGGCGTGCAGTACCCGAGTATGAATGATGTTGAACCGTTGAGCAGGCTGTATAATTATACAGCTCTTTGTGATAAACATTGACAATCTGAACCAACTCCTTATTTTAATCGCTCTGCGGAGAGATATTGATTTTGAAAAATCGATTTTTTTTTTTTTTTTTCGTGAAGAGATCTATATCATTCTCAACTATAATTACGTTACAGCCAGTATTGTTGAACTTAATATGATTGACATCACCTTTTCTTTCCATCATTGGTATGCATGCCGTTATCTAAAATTTTAATTAAAAAGTAGGTAATAAGAAATTTATACGCACCGTGGACGATATTACAAAATCTGATATTTCAGTGACATAATACAGAATTACAGATACCGTGTGAATATCGGTATACTGTAATTAGCCGGTTTATCTGACACTCACACTGACGGTTATAATTTTCTATTGCCACGAAAATGCGGTAAAATGGTTGGTTATAAGAGTTGTTGACCATAATATTCTTTATCTAACAGCCGTTTGTGTGATTTTGAGTAGGTAAGAACTCTCTTTCGTATAATTATGGCTGGTTTCTGCTCCATTATTTAGACCTATATCTATTAGTGCGAAACCGGTAACCAGGCTCTAACTTTGTTCTAGCAGACTGGACACTATTGATGGGAGATGGGGCTGTGTTCAGACTGTTTGCTGTCGCAAAGTTGTGAGAATAAACCCCACCTTCCCTGGTACACATTGATTTACCGACCAGTGAACGAAAGCGCGCGAACCAATGAATACCAAAGATGTTGGGCTACACAGCGCCCAACATGAAAATGAGTTTACAACTTCCCTTGTAACCAACCAATAAACTCGCGTTAACACCTAGTTAATAATATAGACCGAAGTTCCAAGCCACTGCGCGTCTGTACTTTGACACCAATGCATGACATTGCCAAACTCTATATACCAGTTCAAAATTGTAATTACAGATCTTAATAGCATGTCACTTTCTATCTTGGCCTCTAGGGTGAAGCACCTAAATACCGCTGCGCGTGTTACAGTAATTTGACACCAATGCGTGACATTGCCGAACTCTAAAATTATACCAGTCAATCCGAAATCCTCGTGCCACAAAATTGTAATTACAAAGTTTAATAGCATATGTCACTTTCCATCTGTGCCTCTATAGTAAAACGCCTCAATAAAATGACTGACAAGAATTAATTTGGAATCAGAATTGAGTCGAGCACACAGCAGATGTCCAGATCCTGCTAGGTCAATACACAATGTACCCGTCGTCTTGCAAGAAGGCTTTGAACAAAGTTGAACTCGTTGCAGCAGAGTTTAGGACATACATCGGCTGCAGATAGGTGGCAGTTTGAAAGTGGTAGTATCTCTTTGACTTTTGCAATGGAAACAACACTGTGATCATGACTGCCAGTCAGATGTCTAATGAAATGTCCGTCGCATCTCTTTTGCACGAATCAAACCAGTGGCAGGTGTACGTTTTTGTAGATCATCACACCGACAGAAGTTTGAAACCTTCGGTCGAGCCCATGTCGTCAGATTGTGATAGTAGGCTGCTAAACCAATATCTGGTGATTAAATATTAATAACACTGACTAATTGTCCTGAAAAACACTGATAGAGTGGCTTCCTAAATGCATGGTAAGACTGGTTGAATGCTTATCATTTTAACATTGGCGATTTCTAAGTTACCTGTTAGAAATACGTCTTAAATTTGACATTGAAATCAGCACTTGGCAGTTGGTGTTACAAGACTAGTACTTGCGATGGCATCCAACCTGGACGGAGGAAACGGTAGTGACTATTACTACATAGAAGAGGACCGGGCTACTAAATTAATATACACCGCAACACACACTGTGATTATCACAATCGTCATCCCGATCATTTTGTGCGTCGGTGTCATCACCAACTCCAGCTTCCTGTTTGTCGTGATGCGGGTGCCGAGGAGGATATCTCACACCACTCTGTACTTGGCACACCTTGCAGTGGCCGATCTCCTTTATCTCATCTCTCGACTTGGGCTACCTTTCGTCCGTGCCCCTGGCGGGTAAAATTTCTATTCATGAACTCGGCGGACGGTTTTTTGGCCTTTTTACTGGGCTGTGCCACTGGACTGGTTCCCGCTCCCATAATATGGGACCGGTAGCTAGTTCCCATTTAAAGCCATTGATTGGATCGCCCGATGAACGCGTGAGCGTTTTGGATGCAATTTATTGAATCCGAAAGTGGCGCTATTTAGCCATGTTGTGGAGGGATGTTTTCAAAATGGTGGTTTTCTTTGGATGATAATTTCTCAAAAAGTCATTGGTCAACCCACCAAAAAAGGAAAGGTAAATGAAAGACGATCTGTCGATCATCATTTATTTTGAGAAGCATGAACGCCTGTGGGAGTTTGAGCATTCTCTAACATACTTTTGAAGTATGGGGATTTATCACTGGTGTCTATGGGACTTTTTGCTTGGTTGCACCCCTATTGAATAATGTGGACGATGTCGTCCACGGCAGTTTATTTACTATCCCACTCCGCAACCCACCGGCGGACCACCGGTGGCTGGGGAGCGGCTTGTCGGTATCGGCACGACGAGCCAAACCATCAGCGGTCCGCCAGTGCTAGGCAAGTGGCATGCAACCAGTGGCATGCCGTCCCTTAACGCCAGCGGACCACAGGCGGCAGTCAGCGGCATACCACCAGCGGCCTGCCGGTCCAAAACCGCCAGCGGACCACCAAATTGAATTGAACGTTTTTTTAAGAAATGACACACCAGGCAATATACTACATGTATTTCAATACCATCGGGGAAAACACGTTCGTTGTGCATGACAGCTCATGCAGACAGTAATACATTGTACATGAGTTAAGGTTACAACTTCACCTGTTACCTACTTCATCTAATTAACTTGTTTTATAACACCTAGTTTATAATGGTATAAAGACCGAAGTTCCGAGCCACTGCGCGTATTACTATCATTTGAAATCCAATACATGTACATAACATTGCCGAACTGCCACAAAAGTTTAATTATAGATATGTCACTTTCCATCTGTGCCTTTATACTGAAACACCATTATGAAATGACAGGCAAGACTTTCTTGGGAGCATGCAACCAGTGGCATGCCGTCCCTTAACGCCAGCGGACCACAGGCGGCAGTCAGCGGCATACCACCAGCGGCCTGCCAGTCCAAAACCGCCAGCGCACCACCAAATTGAATTGAGCGGTTTTTTTTAAAGAAATGACA